AGATTGCTGCTTTTAGCTAATGCACTGCTAATTTTAGCTAATGTATCACTGCTTTTAGCTAATGTACTGCTAATTTTGGCTAGTAGATTGCTGCTTTTAGCTAATGTACTGCTCATTTTAGCTAATGTATCGTTGCTTTTAGCTAGTATACTGCTAATTTTGGCTAGTAGATTGCTGCTTTAAGCTAATGTATTGCTAATTTTAGCTAGAGTATCACTGCTTTTAGCTAGTGTAGTGCTATTTTTAGCTGCTGCTCTGCTTCTTTCAGGGAGTGTTCTAGATCTTTAGCTAGTTTTCAGATTCTTTATGCTTTAACAACTCAGTTTCAGCTTCTTCAGCAACTTTTGGCTAGTGCATCGCTGCTTTTAGCTAGTGTACTGCTATTTTTAGCTACTGGTCTGCTTCTTTCAGGGAGTGTTCTGGATCTTTAGCTAGTTTTCTGATTATTTTAGCTGTAACAGCTCAGTTTCAGCTTCTTTAGCAACTTTTAGCTAGTGTAGTGCTATTTTTAGTTGCTGCTCTGCTTCTTTCAGGGAGTGTTCTGGATCTTTAGCTAGTTTTCAGATTCTTTATGCTTTAACAACTCAGTTTCAGCTTCTTCAGCAACTTTTGGCTAGTGCATCGCTGCTTTTAGCTAGTGTACTGCTATTTTTAGCTATTGCTCTGCTTCTTTCAGGGAGTGTTCTGGATCTTTAGCTAGTTTTCTGATTATTTTAGCTGTAACAACTCAGTTTCAGCTTCTTTAGCAACTTTTAGCTAGTGTACTGCTATTTTAGTTGCTGCTCTGCTTCTTTCAGAGTTTTCAGATTATGCTTTAACAACTCAGTTTCAGCTTCTTCAGCAACTTTTAGTTTTAGCTACTGCTCTGCTTCTTTTAGGGAGTGTTCTGCATCTTTAGCTATTCTTTTTTTAAATTATTATTTTAGCTTTCACTACTCAGTTTCAGCTTCTTCAGCAACTTTCAGCAGTCCTTCAGCTCTCTGCGGTCAAGACGTAGTTTCACAGAAAATGCCACATCTCTGGTTGGGTGTTATTTTGGATGTGTCTTACGTCAGCGCCTTCATGTTTTTATGTCGTGTTTTCATTATTTCTGCTTTTTTTTTATTTCACTTTTGTTTAAAATAAAAGTTGATTTGAATCAACAGGCGAACAAAAATGTCCCTTTAACAAAGATGAGGTGCTGAACTGAGAAAGCAGCGAAGTAGTAAAATAAATAAATAAATAAACGATGGACCCTGACTTGTGCACGGTGCTGTTTACTTGTTTGTCTGTTGATCCTGATGCCGTTTGTCGCTGCAGGAAGGTGACCTTTGACCTTTCGGCGCTCATCTTCCGCCTTCATGTCAGCTGACAGAAACTTAAAGGAACTGCGGTTGGTTGACGTTGTCTGGCTCGGCCCGACTCCGTTTGACGGTTCTGTTGGACCGCAGCTCGACACTAAAAGTTGAACTGTACCGAAACAAAGAGCAGACAGTGTCTGCGAGCTGGTTTCAGCGCGAGGTAAACACCTAAATGTCGTGCGACCGAAGCGGCGCGAGGCATGAAATTAGCATTTTTAGCATCGACTGCCGGATCTGTTTCTGAAGCTGAGCGACCTGTTTACAAGAACTGAGCCGGCTCGGAGTGTTTTCACTGCGGGGTTTTCTGTCGGCAGATGTGTTCGTTACCTGCAGAGGTCCTGGTACCACGGACTGCTGCTGTCCCCCTCCGCTCCGGACCGAACCAACACACAGCCCAGGCAGACTCCGATCCACAAAGCCGGCCCCAGAGACCCGCGGCGGGTCGGTTTATCCTGGAAGAACATGTTTCTACCGCGCTGGATTCTGCCCGTGGAGCCCAATTAGCAGGACGACATGATACAGCAGAGACTCAGCTCTGAACCGAACCAGTAGGAAGTGATAGCGTCACATGACATGACGTCACGTGACTCTGAGGGCGCTGACTGACGATGCCTTCACGGCGTGTGGGAAAAATAACCACCTGTCGCACTTTAAACTCATGCGAAATAAATTCTCGCATTTTTAGATTTTATCATTATAACAATAAATAATTTCACCACTTAAGTATTTCTTTTTTCTGGGTTACATTTTTTTTTTCCCTCTCCGGGTTGGTATCAGGTGCTGCCTCTAGTGGAGGAGTTCAAGTGTCTCAGGTTCTAGTGAGATGGATGGATGGATAGATAGATGGATGTTTTGACTAGCAGCTGTTAAAATATGTGACTGTACCATCCATCCATAAATGTTAGCATCCATCCAACCTCCCATATGCCTGGCATCCATCCATCCTCTATCCATCAATGTAAACATCCATCCAACCTCCCTTATAACATCTGCCTAGCATCCATACATACATACATACATACATTTTCTTTTGTTTATTTGTGGAAGAGTTATCCATTTTCTTATTTATCATAACACTTTAATGCAGCATGACTGAATCGATTAAATCAACAATTTATTAAATAAACATTCCAGCCTTATTGCTTCTAATCCTTTATTCCACATTGTTCTATTTTTCTGAGTATTGAGCACATATCTGTACAGTCTAAGAGCAGTTTTGGAGAAATTATCCATGACATTTAAATTTAAATGTAGTAAGGAAACATCAACATGAATGGTTTCTTGCTCTTTGCTTCCATCTAGAGTGCATTCTGAAGCAGCACAAAATTCATCAAACAAATAAGCTTTTTTTTTTTTTTTAATATATTTATAGCTTAATTTACTAATTACTTTGGCCTTTCCAGACATAGGTCATGTCCACTGTGTAATTTATTTTTGTTGACAATGTAATTTGGTGAAAAAAATTGCTCTTGTAAGGCTCTTCTATGCAGTGAAACAATAAATTAATGGTAAATCAATGCTTCACTGACTTGACTAGAAAAATGTGAAAACGAACAGTTAATTGTAGAATAAAATCTGTGTTAACAGAATAACATTTTTTAAAAATCCAGATTAAATTTAAGGCGTCCATGAAAGAACATTTGTTTCTCTCTGCCTTTCATAACAGATTTTTAAACTCCAAACATTTTATGAATAGAAGTTATAGCCATTTTGGTCAAACTTTAATAAATAATGTCATGAGAACCAACATGGCAGCACTCAGAGTGCGTGCTGGGGACGACTCTCAGCTACTGCCACATGTAGTTGTTGATTAGCTATAGCATCCACATTGTTAATTTATTTATTCATTTTATTTTCAAACTCCAAAAGTTGTAAGTACACATCCATTAATTGTTTTCTAAAAGTTTATTTAATTTCTGTTCAATGTTTTTTTTTTCATATTTGTAGTACAAACAAAGAAACAAACGCATGCACAAAAACATTATCCTTTATAACGCTGGCAGTGGGTGATAAATGTGTTTATCCTGATGATTGCACAAAACCCATAACTGCACATGGGAGAGGACGCAGCACCTCCTCCTGCTCAGACTGCAGCTGGATGAGGATCAGTGGAAGTGATGTCAGCTGTTCAGATGAGCGGCGGCAGCTGATTTTTCTTATTTAAACCTGAGCGCCAGCAGCCGAGGTGCAGTTTGCCCGTCCGCTTGGTTTTTAACAGAATGTTGCTTTGTTTTATGTGGCTGCTGGGTTTCTGCAGCTCGTCAACAGGTAAACATGCAGTTCACCTCGTGCTCCACTCAGTCCTGCCTGATCATATACATTGATTAGTTATAATGTATATGTTTTTGTTCCTTTGTAGGTGTTCCTGTAAGCTCAACTAATGGAGCTGCCTCTGCATCAGGTTGACCCTCGCTGCCTTCATGTGCACATCTTCACTTCTTAATAACTGCATTAGTTTAACTTGAACTGTTCTTTTTGTAGGAAATGCATCTACACTTTCTATAGTTGACCTGTTCCCAGCTGCCAATCAGACTTCAGAAGGTCGGGTCACATGTTGCAAAAAAGTCACATTATTTTCTTAGTTGATGCCATTTTTATTTTTCAAACACTTAACTAAAACAGTCTTGTTTCAATTTTGCATTAGAAAATTGGAGGTCTCTTTTCTAGAATTTTTTTTATTTATTTATATATATATATATTCCATTTACTTTAGTTGGAGCATTGACTTCAGAATCTGAAGTTTCGAACGTGAGCAGCGAGACGCTGGAAGGTAAAATCTGCAACATTATATTTGTATAAATGCAGTTTGAGAAGTTTAATGTTTGTCTTGTAGAGCTTCAATTGGATTTACCACTTGATGAGGGAGACATCATATTAACGGTAAGACCAATTTTTTTTTTTTTAATTAGCACTTTTGCATACGATATTAAGTAACTTTTTTTTACAAAGAAACTACTCTAAATGTTTGTGGATGTACAGGAAGACAGGAATGCAGTGAGCAGGGTGTGGAAAAATGCTGTTGTCCCTTACATTATCTCTCCAGAAATGGGTATGGATGAACTGTTTGTCACAACTGATTTTCACCAACAAGCTTTAATTGTTTTTAATCTCCTGTTATACAGCTCATCGAACGGCAGATATCGAGAAAGCTTTTAAAATGATAACCTCCTCCACCTGTGTACGCTTCAAGGATCGTACAGATGAAGCAAACTACCTTTATATCAGGACGAGCAAAGGGTGAGGCTTGAAATGATTCTGGTTTTTGTTTAAACTTTTTATTTGCTTTTAAAATGAGAAACCTAAACGCAGTGAACATATAGTCTACAGTAGCCGTGACGTTCTAAAGTTTATTGCTACACAAACATCTGCAGCTGTGGTTTCATTAGTCCACCCTCCCAGTTTCTTGGACTCTTTATTTTCAGTATAAGTCAATTTTAATGTCGCATCTTTCTGATGCTGGCAAAGACTAGCTGCAGTTGACTGTGATCATATTTGACCCTGAATTTTGGTTGTGTAGACTGTAGAAACAACACAAACTTTAATTTTATGTGGCCAATAGTCTTGACCGTAAAATAATTCCACCCTTAAACTGTTCAAATCACATCCTGCAGAGATGACTCACTGGTTTTGATTCCAGCTGTGCGTCGTACATCGGCTGCCTGGGAGGCTCTCAGTCAGTTTACTTTGCAGACGCGTGTTCTGTGGGGAACATATGCCACGAGCTCGTTCATGCTCTGGGTTTGCACCATGAACACAACCGCCAGGACCGAGACCTCTACATATCAGTGAAGTGGACCCACATAGCCCCAGGTAAACACATCTGTTTACAGGATGTTTATTCAATTGGCTCAATCCTCTCTTGTAAATGAGTCCCTGAGGCTCAATGGGATTAACCTGTAAGGTTTATTAGGGGACTGGGAATCCCCTTGAACTCCTGCAGCTTGACTTGGTCAAATATACAAAGGGTTGAACAAATTTAAAATTTGGCATTCCATCCTATAAATGCTGTAAATTATAATGAATGAAGAAACCTTTGGCTGCTCTGTTCAGTGTTGCCAGTGGATCGTCCTCGATCTCAGCATCCTCCTGTCTTTCCATCTGCTGTTGTTCAATGCATCCACAAACCTTCTCTGGTCTTCTCGTCCCTCCTCCCTGGCATATTCATCCTTTGTCAACTACGAACAGTCCCTTCACATGTCCACACCGTCTCAGCCCTGCCTCAGTCTTCGTCGTTCAACCAACTGTAGGGTGGCAACTAGACTGCTAGTTTGAGACCATCTTAAACTAAAACGGGCTGGCAGGTCAGATCTCAGGACCAATGATGGTCTGTTTGCAAATGAACATTTTGAACTGAACAGTAGGGAGCAGGTGGAGGTTTAGTGAGGTGGGGACATGCTGTGGATGAGGAAGGTTGGAACGATGAAGATGCTGGCAGCATGAAAGTTTGATAGTTGGCACTGTAGCCTCACAGCAAGGAGGTCCTGGGTTCAATCCCTGGGTTGGACCTGGGGCCTCTGTGGGTTTTTCCCAAGATACTCTGGTTTCCTCCCACAGTTCAAAATCTGCATGTTGGGCTGTCTTCATGCCCAGGCCTCTGTTGCAAAAGGGATCCGATCTCACTGGGATTTGCCTGAGTTTAATAATTTTAAATTGAATGCAATGAAGGTGAATAAATCCTGGGGTGGTCAACTACGCAGAACATGCGAGGTAACATCAGACGGGATGGAGAAGAGTGTTTTGATTTGTGACAAGATGGCTGCAAGAGGGAAAGTTTTCAAGACTGAGGCTTATGATGTGTGTTGAACCGTGGCACCAACAGATGGGAGGTGGTTCTGGAGGTTGCAGACATGACTAAATTAGGATTTCTCATTCAGAGGGACCAAAATGAACAATATTTAAAAAAAATGCATCAGTGACTGCTTAAAGGTGGAGATGGGTTAGATGAGGCTGAGATGGTTTGGACATGAGAAGAGGATGGTTCATGAAGGAGGCTCTGCATGAGGACGCTGAAGATGAGATGAGATGGAATTTGCTGTGTAGATCTCAAACGGGATCAGCTTCAATAAAAGGAGTCGGGGTTTTTTTTTTTTTTTTTTAAGTTTATGCCTAAAGATGTATGTTCACCTCCAGAAAGCCCTGTCAAACTGTGGCAGTTGACCAATTTTTTATTTTCCATTTTTCAGACCAGAAAAAGAACTTTGAAATTAAACGAGGAGACCTCCTGGACCTGCCTTATGACCTTGGATCAATCATGCACTATGGAACGTAAGTTGTAACTCCTCTTGGATTCTCTAATCCAAGACGTGACAATCCCAAGGGTGATAGACTTTATCAACCTAAAGTGCAGTTAAAGCCTTAATCTACAGTGAGGACAAACTCCTTCAGACGTCTACAGAGAAACTTAAGACGAGACAGAACCTCAGGCCATGACTCGGCTGTTCCTTACACTTTGAAGTGGAAGACACTCTTTACAGTCTTAGTCATATTTTAGACAAGACGACAGGAAAACGACTTTTGTTAAGAGTTTAAATTGAATTAGACTCTGGTTTCAACTTAACATGCAGCCCTGACCAAACTTGAACAAATTCAGAACTTCATACAGTTTGACAACCTGTGACCAAACAACCCTCAGTTGCTGAGTCTTTGAGGTTCCTCATTGTATTTCATCGGTCTCTCAGGTCTTATTTCAGCATAGATGGAAGTCCAACGATTGTGTCCAAAGACTCTCGCAGGAGGATCGGTCAAAGGTCTCATCTGAGCAAGCTGGACATCAAGAAACTGAACGCACTTTATCACTGCAGTCGGTAACATTCTCCGGTTTATTTTATTATGCAAACTGTTGCAAATGTATTGACACATCTCTTCTTCTTACAGGCAAATAAAGAAGTGACTTTGATAACTGCACCAGATTTCCAATAAAGATTTAAATTAATCAAGTTTTATTCTTGGGACGTTGGATTTTCACCACTATACCTAAACTTCTTCCGTATCGCTCATTTATGAGACGAGCTCCCGTTAGCGGTTATCCAGCAGACCTGAGTAGCCGAGACCCCAGACCAGCTGGATGATGGTCCAGAGTTTGTGTAGTGCCAAGCCCCAAGTTTGCAGCCCATTCACGTTTCCAAATGATTTTCCTTGCTCAGTGACCCACGTGCTGAAAAGCAGACCCTGGTCATTGCAGTTCCATAGTCTGAAAAATGGCACTAGGGACTCCAGCAACCAGTTGACTGCGTTCCAGGGTCCAGAGCGGGCGACAATGAAGACCATCTGAAACTGCTGACTTGAATAATGTGGGTTTTAGTAGAATGGTCAGTTTTTATGGCCTGCAGGTGAGATTCACCTGAACTTTCACTGAAACAAATCTAAAAGTATAATTTATGCTTATTAAATCAATGTATTCAATATAACTAGATCATTGTAGTCGCAATTTTTTTTTTTTTTTTTTTTTTTGCCCGGATCAAGACCAATGTCAATTTTTCCAAATTGGATGCTATAGAGCTCATAATGAAGTCTTCAAAACAACTGAGGGAGGATCGTCACCAATTTTTGGGTCAGGGGTCTCTTTTTGGTGAGGGATAACAAAAGAAATGACGACGTTCTTCATCACCTGTCCTAGAAAATTTTTGAAAATCTTAAAGTAGCTGTAGCTCAATTAAATGGCAAGAGGTCAGAAAAATGGTAACAACAGTTGTGATTCTACATATCACTCTGAGTTGGTATTTAAAAAAGGGCTTAATTGTAACATTTCAAGAGGACTTCCCCTGTTAGCTAGACAATTGGGTTTGCGATCAAAGATTATTTTTTTTAATATTTATAATGTCCTGGATGACTGGGAATCTTCTCCCACATACAGCAAGGTATAACATTTGGACTGGACGACCAACGCTGTGTACACCGAACAATGATCAGAACTCTTTTTCAAGTTATGTATTGACTCTTCACTCTAATTTTTACATTAATTATATATAATCATCATTGCTGAATTTTGTTGCTATATTGCTGTTCACTGCAAATCATTTAAATTAAAGGCAAAGCATAAAAAATAAAGTTAGGATCATTATTGCCATCCTCTCGTGTTCGTGGATTCTGGATACCTGGTTCAACCCTAATTTCATGAAGGAGGTTTTTAATGGTTTTCTCAGCTGCGAATCATTTAAACATCAGTGTTCTGGAACCTGGACACTAAAAATCAACCAGATCAGTAACAATTGCAATCTGCAAGAAGGTGAGCGGCTGTTTAATGCGAGTTTCCTTGTGGACAATAACCCAACCCTAGCTGCTAGGTTGGATGAACTGCGAGGTGGAAAATAAGGGTGTGACTCACAGATGGTCGTTAGTCTGGGTGAACCACTTTTACACACAGCCTAAATTGGGTTCGGTTCAATTTACTCTGGGTTATACTTGTTATACATACTGTCCACAGTATCCCCTTGGAGGTGAGGATTAGCGAACGAGCCAGTTAGTAGTTGCACTGGGCAGAAAAACTAAGTACAGTAAAATTGTTATTCACGTCAGCAGTAATGACGATATAAACCACAAAAATATTGTTATATTAAATACAATTGCTTTACCAGAACAAAACAATAAAATCATTAAATGTGGATTACTGTATCACGGCTTTCTGCTAAATCCTTGTTAATGATCTGATAATGATCATCATACCAATTTATTCTGACAGAAACCTGGTTGAAACGAAGATTTTGTTAGTATAAATTAATCCACTCCACCTAATTTAAATTTTCATGCTCCTAGAACAGGTCGAGGTGAAGGAGTAGCTGCAATCTTTCAGTCAGGATTATTGATTTATGCTAAACCAATTATTTATAATTCTTGAGTCGTTTCTCACCTAAAATGTAAATCTGAATTGCCACTTTTATTATTTATTGTCTACCAGGTCCTTATTCTCAGTTTTTGTCTGAATTCTCAGATTTAAAAAAAAAAATCTGACATTGAATACTGATAGTCATGGGGGATTTCAATATTCATGTAGATGTTGAAAGTGATAGCTTAAGCATAGCCTCTAATAATTTAATGTAATCAATTGGTTTTACCCAGTAAATAACTAGTGATAACTAACTACTAGATAAATACTAGTGAAAGTGGTAATTCAGATTTCCATTTTAGGTGAGAGAGTGAGGGACAATGACTCAAGAAAAAGACAAAGAGGAAGGTTAAGATGCTGTATATGGATGCAGAGAGGACATGGAGGTGGAGGAGGATGACTCTCTGTGGAGACCCCTGAAGAGGAAAAAGCCAAAAGAACTGGTTTTACCCGAAATGTCCACTCATCTACTCATTCTCATCATCACACTCTTGATCTGGTTCTGACCAATGGCGATCAAGTACTTATTAATACGTTCTCAATCTTGTTTTGTCTGTTTTTATTAACCTTTGAGTTTACATTAAATGACTACACAGCCACTGAGTAAATTTCATCTTAGCAGAAAATGTTTTAACCAAATTTAAAGATTTTCTTCCATCGTTGTTTTTAAGAACACCTGGACCGATCATTCTGTTTGTTTCTCCTTCCTGTTCCTCTCAAACCCCAGCCGGTCGAAACAGACGGCCCGTGGTTCTGCTGGAGGTTTCTTCCTGTTAAAAGGGAGTTTTTCCTTTCCACTGTCACCTTTTGTGCTTGCTCAGGATGGGAGACTGCGACGAAGTGAAGATTCAACACAATCTGCTGCTTCCGTAGATAAATAACTTTACTAATTAGCTTTTTTAAATGTATATAAATGTTTCTGTTCAGTGCTCTGAGACAACTTCTCTTGTGACTTGGCGCTATATAAACTGAAATGATAAACGAGTAACTTTGAACAACGTTCTAAAATGTTTTGTATTTTTATTTTTTTCATTAAAAGTCTAATGCAACTTTATTTCTGTGGGGAGACTTTATTGCATCCAGAAATGACTCGTCTGTACTAAAGTCTTGTGAGGAAGTTGGAAAGAAGGGAAGCTGAAAAGATTGCCCCAAAAATGTAAATCATTAAGATTAATTAAAATGATAGAGAGCAAAAATAAATAAATAAATAAAAATACTGGTACTCCACAAAAATATGCTTTAAGAACAGAAGTGATAGATTTGTGACAAAATTCTGCATTTTCAAACCCATTCTTTACTTTACAATCTTACAGAATCCCCAATCCTTTATTTTAAATCCGTAGAATTATGTACACATTAGCACATTGTAACAAAGATGTTGGAAAAATTATCCCCAACATTTAAAACTTGGAAGAAACTTTAAATTTGAATTCCTGTTTGTGCTCTGTACTGCCATCTAGTGTTCAGAAGAACAGTCTGAAGGTTTATTCTTTAAATTCCAGAAGGAAATTCTAAATCTATTTGCATCATAATAAACTCATTAAATTTAAAATATTACTTTTGTATCTTCAAACTTTAGCCTTAATGGGCAGGTTGCTTTGTCCCAGCTGGGAGGAGCTGCCCAACCTTATGGGCAGGTCTTTCTGCTGAGCGCAGGAAGCTGTGCCTGATGGTGCTTTGCAGAGGATGATCAGCATCTTCAGGGGTGTCTTCTCAGATACTGCCTCTGAGTCCAAGTCCCAGAACAGGACCTCACCAGTTTGTTTGGTCCCGCTTTGTCCCTCATCACGGCACAAAAAAGGCAAGTGTCCACCACAGGCTGATGGAACGTCTACAGATCACTGTAGATGTTAATGGAGCCCAGCTTCCTCGATCAGTAGACTCCGTCTCTTTCTGTGGAGTGTCTCCATATCCAGACTGGTCCAGTTTGTCATCTAGCTGTCGACCCAGTAGTTTAAAGGTCCTGATCTTCTCTACATTAACCCCTTCAATGGGCGAGGGACGGAGAGGTTTGTTCCTTCCATCTCCTCGGTCTTGGAGTTCATCTGCAGATGCTTTGGTTTGTTTCATCTTCACTGGAACTGAGGAAAATGTCAGTTTCCTGAAGAAGTCAGACAGTTTGTTCTACATGGGACACGTTAAACTTTATTAGAAAATCAAGAGCAAAAAGCCTGAAATGTGTAGAAGTTTCTTCATTTAAAGATCACGCTAGTTATTATCATTTAACCCTTTAACAACTGGCTGCAGTTGTAAATGTTCTTGCATGTGTTTTATTGTCTGCCTGTTGCTTTTCTTTTAAGATTTTTTTTTTTTTCATCTGGTGTGAAACATTTTGTGGATGAAAGATTCTTTATAAATAAAGTTGGACTGATATGCATCACTAAGTCTTTTCTTTGGCGTAAAGAGCGTTTTTGTTTTGTGGCTGTTTTTAGGCGTAAACTGTAACGAGGATCTACTAGATTATATAAAAAACAAAGTGGTAAATACAAACCCATAAAGATTGATCTATCCTGAATCCTTCCAGTCCATGAAGGCTTAGTGTTTAGTCCTGGTCTCTGGGCCAAACTGCATGTTTTACATGTTTCCCCGCTCCAGCACGCCTGAGTCAGTGGTTGAACGACCTCTTTATGTCCCACGGAAGTCTGTTAATCACACATTGATTCAAATCAAGTGTGTTACAGCAGAGAAATATCAAAAACATGCAGGATAGTGGCCTTCAAGGACCAGACATTGTTGTATTAAAAATAACAGCATCCCCTGATGTCCAGACTTTAGCTGCAGGATGAGAATCAGCTGAAGTGATCTCAGCTGTTCAGATCATTTAAGGCAGCTGTTTTTCAGATATAAACCCAAACAGCAGCTCTTTTCCGTTGAGCAAAAATGTTGCTGCCTTTTGTGACGTGGCTGCTGGCCTGCAGCTTGTCCACAGGTAAACTCTGAAATATTCCAACTGCTTTTGTTAAATGCTGCTGATTAATACCCTTTAATATTCTGCAGGCGTTCCTGTCAAATCACTGGACGGATCTACTTCTTCAGGTTGACTATTTATTTTATTTATTTAACTTTGCTGTTTTTGTCAAAAAAAATTTATTTTTATTTTATTTGTTTCTAGGAAATGCCACCATTCCTGCACCAGCCAGTAATCAGACTTTAGGAGGTAAATTTTACTTTTTAACCAAAATTAAATGCTTATTCATCTGAGAAACTTTAGTTTTTCTTCTTGTGCTAATTAAAAACACTCCAAATAAAATTTAACTGTTGTGCTCCTGGGCTAAATGGGTTTTGTAAAAATGTGAATTCTATGACTTGACTTGCTGTTGGTGCAGAGGTTTTGGTGTTTTACAACGTGCGAGCAGAGCTAGCTGCTGAAATGTGTTTTACGTGTTGCAGAGGTGCAAAGTGACATGCCAGTTCAAGAAGGAGACATGCTGGTGGATGTGAGTAACGGAGAAATCTTTAATTTTATTTGCATGAACCTTTAATGTGACTAGGATTGCAAAAGTTGAATGTAATTGTTACATCTGACCTGCAGGAAGACAGGAATGCTGTGAACATGGTGTGGGGTGATGCAATTGTCCCTTATGAAATCAATCCAAATGTTGGTGAGTTGCAGCTCGAGCTATTAACCGTTTTCTATATATGGTAAAACTTGTTTAATTCCTTTCTAACCTCTTCCAACTCGACCAGCTTCTCGAACGGCAGATATCCTGGCAGCTTTCAACATGATCATGAGGTCCACGTGCATTCGCTTCCAGCCACACACCAATGAATATAACTACATTGAAATTAAGAACGGAGCAGGGTGAGACTTAAAATATTTCTAAATGCAAAAAAAACCTGCTTTTTGTCTATGGGTAATCTGGATTTTTAAATTCCAGCTGTTCATCGTTTGTCGGGTGCCGTGGAGGTTCCCAGCCTGTGTACTTTGACAAAACGTGCTCTGTGGGGAACCTGTGCCATGAGCTCATTCATGGTCTGGGGTTGTTTCACGAACACACCCGTCCAGACCGAGATCAACACATCACCATCAACTGGTCAAATATCATGCCGGGTAAAACGTGCACCCCGTTCAGTCAGTTAGCGTACAAAATACTGTCGAGACTTAAAATGACTCGTTTTTCTTTTAGGCAAGGAAGGAAACTTTGAGATTAATCCAGGAAATACTCTGAACCTGCCTTATGACTACGGTTCTATAATGCATTATGGATCGTAAGTTGCAACCATTCTGACCAGGTTAAACCATTTGTGTGAAACTTTTTTTCTAATGTACCTCGTTTGTTGCAGGGCTTACTTCAGTGTTGACGGAAGTCCAACTATAGTGACCAAAGAAGGAGGAAGTATCGGTCAACGGAAACAACTGAGCCAACTGGATGCACAGAAACTGAATGCGCTCTACCACTGCTGAAAGGACTGTTTAAAAAAAATAACTGTCAAATCTGTTGTAGATGAAAAGATGACGATAAGCTACAATAACACTGGAGATTTAATAAAACTGTTAAACCACATTAGAGTTCATTTTCTCACTGGGTCATTATACAAGTGTTGAACTAGCCCAATGCTTGGAAATGAGAGTAACTGGTTAATTTAGGCATTAATCTACTTTCCTCTGGTCAGACGTCGCTAGACTTTCAATCTGCAGCTTTTCAAACTGAAATCCCAGTTTGGTCCACAACAGTTTTCACAGGGCAGCTGATTTTTATAAATAACATCTACAGAGAGTGAAGACTTTAAATTGTAAATCTTGTGACCGTTTGCCTAAAACTAAGTACACCAGTTTGAAATGCAAGTGAGACTGAAAAGATGCCATTCATAATGGGAGAAACTGGACTGTTTTTCTTCAGGTAAAGGGTTTACTTGAGCTTGCAGCCATCCATTCTCTTTACCTGCTGCTTTTCAAATCACAGATCTTGCCGTGCGGTAGGCGGGGTACACATGGGAGACAAATGAGACCATTCTCTCAACCAAGAAACGGTTACCAGTTTAACATGTTTTTGGTCTGTGGGAGGAAACTTGGAGAAAACTCATGCATGCAAACTCGACCCAGAAAGGCCCCCAGGCCAGGATTTGAACCGGCGACCTTCTCTTTGTGGGGCAACAACTCTACCAGCTGTGCTGCATAACTTGCAACTAGCAACAAAATTCAATTTCTAAATTTTTAAAATGGAATCTCAACTCTTTCTGGTTCATACACAAACCAAATGAATCACTTTTCCATTTGTTTTCTACTCTGGCTGCACAGTAAACTGGTCCGCTTCAATATTTCATGATCTACATTTTTGTCACCCGAGCCTCATGTGGGTATCAAGTCCAGTGAGTCTAGATTGACTAAATGTTATCCAGCGATGGTCCATGCAGCTGTTTCAAGCCTCATTTAGGCCTCCTCTGTGTTAACTGGGCCGTGGACACTCGGGTCTGACTCCAACATTGTTAACTGATGCCTGGTTTATCTGTAGGAGGAGCTCCGAGGCAGTTCTGTCTGCAAGGTGAGCCCAAAGGACGGACCAGGACCTGCCAGAAGAAACGGGTGTGCTCACACTGGGGTAAACCAATTATTTCACTTGTCCTACGGGAATTATTCTAAAACTTTAAGCTTTATGAATTTATTTTTAAACAATGTGTTTTTAAATTAAAACTGAATTGCATTTTATTTATTGTGGGATAAAAACTGGGCTGGATTTGTGTTTAACCAAACTTGTGTTTGCATCAGAGTGAAATGAAGCTCTTCGTTTTAATCTCTGGAAACGTTCGCAGCTAATGAATAATTTTAAGTGTCAGCGAGCATGTTGGCCGTCTGCAGCTGCACTCCGATCCTTTTTTTGTTTTTTTTGGCTCTGATGGGTCGACGAAGTGTCAGGTTAGTTTGGGCTTCTCAGATTTACTAAATGCTTCAGTTCACACGTGGAGCAGCCAGGGAATTAAACCGTTCGTTCTTATAAATACTGAGACCAGATTACAGCTTAGACGCATTTGGGATGAAGGTAAATCATCTGAAGTTTTACTTTTCATTGTAATTATCGTGGCGCTCAGTTTTATTTCCTAACATGGTATCCAGCTTTTCTATTATCTAATAATTTAAATAAAACTAATAAAATACTATCCAGGAAAAAAAAGTTTTAAAGAAGGAAAACGTTCAGTTGTGCTTAAAATTTAACTATTTAAGGGAAACTTATGAAAAATTCTTTAAACTTGAGTTCAAACTTATTCATTTAATTTAATTTAATCAATTTTTAATTGCTGTTTTTTTATTAAAGTTTATGAACAGGGGAGAGCTGATGATTTTAGAGCTTTTGTCTGCAGCCCAACTTGATGTGATGCAGGTAAAACAGCAGGTGCACACTTCTGCAAACTTGTAAAATAAATAAAAATAAAAATAGATGGTCGCAGGTTGCCTTTATCCACATGATGTCACCGTGACCCCAGGAGGCAATAACATTAGCTTTAAAAGCAATAAATTAAAGTTCAAATTATTTCATACTGAGGGTCAGTAGCATCACAATCAGCCAGCAATAAATTATTAGCTAAATGTGTCATTTATTAATTAAAGCTGAACTTAAATATATTAAATCGATACATGTAACAGTATGTAAATCAATTAACAGTTAGGATGTGATGATTGGAAAGTGATCGTGCATTTATCACTCTGTGTGTTCATTTGTCTGTTAGCAAAATATCTCTTGAACCACTGGAGTGATTTAAAGAAACTCTTGGAAAGCGATCGGACAGATTTAACCTTTGCTGCCACATCTAATCAGCCTCAGCAAACGCATAAATTACTTTTGTTCACTCTCTTTTACAAATGTTGAGTTAAATTAGTAGTGGTAGTAGCTGAAAGCCATCCACATCACGTACTCTGAGTGATCTTACATTGTTTTCAACGTTAGATAAAAGAAACCACAACTTTATGATTAAAGTTTAACAGGAAAGGCAGCTGTCGATATGATCTATTTATTATGAGTTATTTAAATGTGTCATTATCTGGACAAAGTATTTTAAAGAAAAGTAATTATTTAATTTTTAATTATGTGCTCTAGTACGTCACAAAATAAAGTAATTATTTTTATGGATCAAACGAACGAAAAAAAAAAATTCCCATTATAATAAATTATTGACACTTTATTATTATTATTTTTATTCACTTGTGACTCTTTGGACGATCTAATCTGAGAGCGAACCTACAGATGTTTATTTATGATGGACATTTGAGTCCTTATGAGTTATTCAGCCAGAGTTATTAAAACTTCACTGAGCTTTTGTTTTTACAATATTATCCACACGATATTTTTAACTCATTCATTGTGGACGTGACTCAGTTTGCTGAGTTTTGCTCAAGTTTAAGTCAACGTTATTGTCGTTTCCGTCACGTGGTGCATGAGGTGGAACGAAATTATGTAAGTTTACAGGGTCCCAGTTACATCCAAAAATAGCAAAAATACAAAGTATAAAAAGAAACGGTAAATAAGGATATAAGATATACGCTAAACACTAATAATGTGTAACAGTTTTGGATTTCTCTTCAGAACAATAAAGCTGTAAATTAATAAACTAAATCTCTCTTCACTGAGTTGGTTTCTTTCCAAACCTGCGATGCAAAAGTACCCAAATATCAATAAGATGAACTTGAAAACCCTTCTGCTCCGCTTCAAATCAAATAATAATTATATGAACTGTAGCTGCATGGCTGCCTCCCTGGTGTTCCGACTGCACGACCGAGGCCCAGAGTTGGTGAGAGAAGTGCTCCTGGAGCGAGGATGGGAGGAATATGACAGGAGGAGGCAGGAGGACGAAGACTGGAACCTTTACTGGCGGGGGTCCACGTTCCCAACTTCAGATTATCACAACCTGCTGCCATGGCAACGCCTCAACCACCATCCCAAAACTGCTGGCATCACGCGCAAGGTGACAGTCTGACATAAGTTGTGATAAAATCTTAAAAAATGACGCTTTGCTTCCAAATATCTGGTTATTTTTCTGTGCCTGAACATGAAATAACGACCCCCGTCTCCATGTAGCTCGCAAAACTGACATTTTGACGAGTCTCGAGTCTGAATAATTATTTTGTTCATCGAAAATGAAAGATTTTAACTAAAATAGGTCTCCAGTTGTATCTGTCATGGTAGACGGAGAAAACAAGGGAACAAATGGTTTTGGATGTTTTACTTTTTACCCTCAGGTCAGTTTAGATGTTCTGTCTGAGGAGCAGAAAACTTTCCCAAAGTAAATTATCCACAAGCTATTTAATTTACGGTTCAATTTAGCTACAAATAAAACTCGGAGCCCTGCCCAAACAAACATGGGTTTGAAGCAAAACTAAATTTTTGCTTCATTTGCGTCTCGTTCTCATGAAAACAGGTTTTTAGGTGAGAAAATGTGTCTTAATAAAAAGTTTTCATATTAAAGCATTAAAAAATAAATGTGTATCCATGTGTACTTGACAAACTGAAATAATGAGGATGTGATTATGTTGCTTCGTACTGAACATGTACAAACAGAACCCATGAAACCTCAGCCCCCCGGTGGCCCCCCCGGTGCCCCCCCCCCCTTTGCCTGACAAATTTATCCTGAATAACAAGCTTTTGTTTGATGTATATGTTTAATGTCCCCTGGCTATGTGGTGTTAGTACAATCTCATAAACATGAAAAACAATATAGTTTTCAAAAAGTTATTTTTTGTTGTAAAAACAAAAAATCCTGGAAGGTAGATTACCTGAATAAGGACCAGGGTCTCAGGAGGTTACACTTACAATGTTCTGTTTTTATTTAAAAAATAAATGTAGGGAGAAGCTCCAATATGTTGACTGCTCTGTTGTCAATAAACAATAAATATATTTTTTATTTAACTTTTATTCATACAGGTAGTCTTGAGTCACGAGGACTCGTTTTCAAGAGAGACCTGTTTTAGACAGACAACAATTTACAACAGAAAAAGCTATTTAAAAAAATCTGTTGTAAAAACTGTTACTGACAACAACATAGTCCTGTTAGCAATGAGGTTCTGTTAGCAGCATGATCCTGTTGGCAGCATGGTCCTGTTAGCAGCATGGTCCTGTTAGCAGCATGGTCCTGTTAGCAGAGTGATTCTGTTAGCAG